ACACACACACAGAGAGAGAGAGAGAGAGAGAGAGAGAGAGAGAGAGAGAGAGAGAGAGAGAGAGAGAGAGAGAGATGAGGGACGCTAAAACAAGCTGGCAGGAATCAGCTGGGAAGGACGGGCAGAAAAGATAGAGATACTGACAGATGGAATCGGGATTTGGCGGGAAGGAGGAGTAGAAGGAGAGGAAGATGGTGCGAGCAACATACCGTCTAGATCAGGATAGATCGCGAGGATGTTTTGAGAAAAGAAAAAGGAAAAAAAGAAAAAGGATGGAGCCCAGAGAAAAGATTACAGGCGAGGAAGGGGTGCCAGACACGTGTCATGCAGATCGAGTATGCCACATCACATCCATTAAGGTCGATGACAAATGGGAAAGAGGAGGAGGAGGAGGAGGAGGAGGAGGAGGAGGAGGAGGATGTTGGGGTAGGGGGCGAGGGAAATAGGAGGGATCATGTCACATTGGATTGAGGAAGGTACTACCACGAACGCGACTTCAAATCCGGATCGTGGAGGGATGTGGAGGAGGAGGAGGAGGAGGAGGAGGTGAAAAAGGGTGATGCCACGGTGGACCGGGATGCCAGCGGGGGAATGGAGTACGTCGGGATCGGAACAGGGCCGGGATGGTGGGGGAAGGAGGAAAACAAACTGGGTGCGCCCAGACGGGAGGGAGGAGGGAAACAAACTGGGTGCGCGATCCAGTTCGTTTCCCTCTTCCCTCCCTTCTCGTCCCTGTCCCGATCCCGACGTACTCCCTTCCCCCCTTCGCGCGATCCACGGCGGGATGGAAGGGAGTACGTCGCGGTCGGGATGGCCACGTGGCTCGGCTTAGCGGAACGTGCCACGTCGGATCGGATTGTGGATGGAAAGGAGAAGAGCGGGGATCGTGCCATGTGTGTGTCAGTTCAGTTACCACAGGAAAAAAAAAAAAAAAAAAAGAGGAGAGGGGGGCATCGTGCCATGTGTGTAAGTTCATTTGCCCAAAAAGAAGAAAAAAAAAAACGGATCGTGGCATGAGGGAAAGAGTGTGTACTTCGTCGAGTGGGGGAGGAAGAAGACGGTCGTGGGTGTGCGTCAGGCCGAGATGGCATGGGCGCGAGGAGTGAGACTGGGAGCGGGAGGCCTTTGCGCATCCAAGGGAGGTTCGGGAGGGGGAGGCCTCGCGCATCCAAGGGGGAGAACCCCCCTTGGATGCGCGAAGGCCTCCGCCTCCCTTTGGATGCGCGAGGAGTTCGACTGGGAGGGGGAGGCATTCGCGCATCCGATGGGGGTTCGT